TTGAGATATTCACGAAAAAGTTGTGGCTAAGAACTTATGCACCAACCTAATATCTCGTTATTTAGCGCGCTTCCTACTGATAATGAGTTTTTCGAGCACATCTTCGAAAGTGTTGAATGAATCAATAAATCCAGTTTCTATTTATTCCCTCAACTTCTTTTCAGAGAGGTCATATTCCGCATATCTCATCGATCAACGCACTGCTTATACTGCGCAGCCTCGAGAACGGATGGGCAGCTCCCGACTCAACAGCTGGTCAAATTATTGGCGAAGCTGTGAAAGTTGGTTCACTTTGACCTTGGCCGCTTTTGAATTTCGAAAAGCGCCGCTTATTGAACACGTTTTTGCACTTTGTCTGTTTTCAGACAATGTTAGCTGATCGAATCGATGCTGCAGTACATGTGCGTAAGAACCCCTCTCTGAATGGAATTGGATTCCGCAGTGACTTTCAGCCACTTTTTAGTAATGGGTGAGTCACTGCGTGTTCATTGATAATACAAGCGTTGAATACGCTAGTTTCCAAGATGAACTGTTCTAGCATTGAACGGAAACATTCTCTTCACCAAATCACTACAGCAGACCTCTTTGAGTCGTTCACGGTGTGTTCATTTCGTTCTTTTTCTCTTAAAGACAGTTTCCGTCTGGCAATCCCACGGCAAAGCAGGATTCCGAACGTGCCAATCCAGTTGTCGCCGAGAGCACAGGGAAATTACCCTACGGACACGTGGCAACGCTATGGACTACGCATTTCGCCATTAGGTAAGCCGTTCTATTGCAGAGTGAAAGTAGTCATGGTTGCAAAGGTTGCAATAATCACGCGTCTCAAGCTTTCTTAAATTTCGAGTGACGAAAGTAGTACGTTCTCTATGAAGGCGGACACGAGGCCAACCGCACAGAAGCCCTTCCACGGACCACTTGATCGCGGAAACTGTCTTTAGAAAAAGAACGAAATGAACACACCGTGAACGACTCAAAGAGGTCTGCTGTAGTGATTTGGTGAAGAGAATGTTTCCGTTCAATGCTAGAACAGTTCCATCTTGGAAACTAGCTTATTCAACGCTTGTATTATCAATGAACACGCAGTGACTCACCCATTACTAAAAAGTGGCTGAAAGTCACTGCGGAATCCAATTCCATTCAGAGAGGGGTTCTTACGCACATGTACTGCAGCATCGATTCGATCAGCTAACATTGTCTGAAAACAGACAAAGTGCAAAAACGTGTTCAATAAGCGGCGCTTTTCGAAATTCAAAAGCGGCCAAGGTCAAAGTGAACCAACTTTCACAGCTTCGCCAATAATTTGACCAGCTGTTGAGTCGGGAGCTGCCCATCCGTTCTCGAGGCTGCGCAGTATAAGCAGTGCGTTGATCGATGAGATATGCGGAATATGACCTCTCTGAAAAGAAGTTGAGGGAATAATAGAAACTGGATTTATTGATTCATTCAACACTTTCAAAGATGTGCTCGAAGATAGCGAAAAACTCATTATTAGTAGGAAGCCCGCTAAATAATCGAAATTAGCTGTGGTGCATAAGTTTAATCACGAGCTTCGGTAAATAAGTCAACTAAATGCGCAACCAACCTTAAAGGTTAGAGTATTGCACAATCACCGATCCACTACGGGCGACGCCATCGCCGAGGGCCGAGGTGGCCTTTCTGACCCTTGATCGCTTTGTTTCAAACTTTTTTTCCGTCCAGAGAGCGTGCAGTGCGCTGAACAGCCAGTAGTCAGAAGGAGCGAGGTCAGGGCTGTAGGGAGGGTGGGCGACCATCAGCCATCCGTACTTCTCCAGCTCGGCCTGGGTCGCCTTTGCAGTGTGAGGTCGGGCGTTGTCATGGTGGAAGTAGATTTCCGCATTCGATCCACGAGTAAGGTCGACGTGATCTTTCAATTTGCGCAGCTGGGTAACATATTTGTGGAAGTCAATACTCCTGTCCCTTCCTCCAGCAGCGCCTAGTACTCTCATGCCTCTTCTGGACACAACATAGGACAGAAGAACTATCGTGGGTAGTGAAGGTCGGCCTTTCGGGTGACACGTGGCTGTTCTCCTTTGTCGACCCACTGCTGCTTCCTCACGTTTTTTTGTGAATCGTGAAGTAAAACCAGGCAGTGGCGCAGGTACATTTTGTCACAGTGGAAATTGTGCGACATTGTGGCCTGCAAATGCAAGGTGGGTGAGTGATAGCTAGTGTGATAAAAGAGTATAGTGCCCACGTCACGCACACGTGATGACGATATACCAACATCCATGCAAACGATACGGAAGGATCGAACACGGGGCTAAGAACTTATGCACCAACCTAATAGATTCCATACACTAACGTTGCACGAAAACCTAATACCCGATTATG